GGGGTTATTTATGGGCACAGCAGGCAAAGGCAGTCCCCCCCATTCCCTAAGAGGTGCAGGGAGGCTGCATACTCCCATTACAGCCTCTTAATTACCTCGTGTGGGTCGGAGAGATGTTATTGTCGGCCATCTTCCAATGCGCCCCTAGTGCCCCCCCGAAGGACCTTATTCCAGTGGTTTCCAAACTTTTTTCAAAGAGGGCCAGATTTGATGAAGTGAAGGGCCATGAGAGCCAACCAAAGTTGTTGAGTTTTTTTAGGACTGAAGTTCTTGAGGTCTTTTTTTTAGGATTTTATCCCACAAAATAAACTGCCACAGAGACCGGATTACTTTATTCCTTGCATGGGGGGGGGGGAGCTCTGCCCGCAAACAGATCAACAGCAGGCCTTGCTTTCTTACTGGCCTCATTGTGTTACCTCTGACGGGAGGCACAAGGGATAAATTTTACCTGGATGTCTCATGTGTGTCTGTGTGTGTGCACGCAAAAGTCAGAGCCCCATTTTTTCTGTTCATTGTGCACCAGTACCTAAAACACGGACGGATCTAATCTGGTGGCGTTGGGTGGGGGAGGGAAGGATGTTGCAATGTAAACATTTTGGGGTGCGAGACCCCACTTTGCAAGCGGATTGCCGGGATCAGCCCCTCCCCCGCTCTCCTGATCCACAGGAGGAAGAAGGGAGGGGGAAAACCTTCCTCTCTCCCCCCCTCAATTCCTCCCCTCCCGGCACATCCTTCTCTCACCCCGCCCCCACAACCCCAATCCTGCCCCCATCTGTTACACCCATTTCTTCTCCTCCTCTTCCTCCTCTCCTTCCAAACTGCCTGCTTCTCCCGCAAGTGGAGCTTCTGCGCCGGATTGCTGCTCTACGCCGTAGCTCTAGGGGAGCGCGCTTTCGGAAAGGGGAGGAGAGGACACCCCACCCCCCGTGGATGTTGCAGGAAAGGAAAGGAGAATCTGGAGCAAGGACAAAGAGGTAAAGGGGTGGCGGGGGGAGGCGAGAGAAGGATCCAGAGACCCCCGCCAGGTCCCCAAAGCGCATTTCGTGGGCCCCATGGGCAGGGCTTGGATCCCTGCATGCGTGCTGTGAAGGGGGTTTTCCTTGGCCCCTTAGGTGCCCTGGCGGGGGCGGACATGGGACACCCACCCAGGAGGTCCCTACGAAGACCCCCCTTGCCCCGTTTCCCCCACACAGGGATCCCTGGGGCGCTGTGGGCTCCGCATAGAGAAAGGCGGGTAATGAATGGGTTAACGGGCGCGAGGGACGCCTGGATAGAGACCTCCGTGTGGCTCGTGTGTGTGGGGGTGTCCTCTGGACGGAGAGATGGGGTGCGCAGGGCGAGGGGTGAGCCACGCCAATGAGGCCTCTGGGTGCAGGGGAGAGAGAGAAGGGGGGGGGGGAGAGAGAGAGACCAGACTTTAGGGAGAGGTCTCCATTGTGGCGCCCAAGGGGATTCTTCGGAGGGGCCGCCTTGCCTTCTCCCTCCCACCCAGGTATCGGCCACTCCTTCAAGGCGACCAGAGAGGGATCCCTGGAAAGTGGGGGGTTCAGTCCCTCCACCCCTTTCTTCCTGCAAGCTGCATCCTCTTCCCACCCGATAAACCCTTGCCCTGCCCAGACACAGCGGTTCAAATCCTTAGAGGAAGAGGGGAGGGGAGGGGAGAGGCCTTCTCAGAAGCGGCTCTTGGTTTCCGCAATCCCACCCAGGAAGCAGCCAGAAACCTTTTCCTCTCTCTCAGGCCTCCATCTTTAATGTCTTTTCCACTGCCTGCTTCATTGAGGATGAGGATAATGTACACCTGTCATCAGAAACAGGGGTGCAGAGTCCATGGAATGGCTCTCAGGATTCATATAGAAGTTGCACCTCAAAAGCATTTCTGTTCCTCTTATTTTTGGTAGGGAGTGTCAGAGTGACTGACAAGCTGAGATTCTTCCCAGTCAAAGGACCCATTTTCATGATAGACAGTGCCTGTGGCTGGAGGCTCTACATACAAGGTGTGCCTATACAGGCCAAAAACTGCCAGTATTACCACAGGTGAGGTATGTGACCTCCCCAAATTTACAGACTGTATGTGAATGAGAAGTAGTGGGTGGGATTACAGTTTAGGGCAGCCCTGTGAGTTTCTCCACCCATAACATTTCGTGAGCTGATATTGCAGTACGAAATACAAAATAACTACAAAAGAATAACAATATAATAAGAATGATTGTAGTATTTATACCCCACCCATCTGGCTGGGTTTCCCCAGTCACTCTGGGCAGCTTACAGTACATATAAAAGACAGTAAAACATCAGACATTAAAAACCTCCTGATACATCCTGATGGCATCCCTCTGATTTTCTCCTCCACAATGATCTCCAGAGGAAGTCCAACATACAATTAGCAGAGCAGGGAAAAATGCTCAGAGACAGCATAAAATTCCTTCAGCAAATAAATTTGTTACTGAAGGCAAAACAGGAATCTATGCCTGCAAAATGCAACCACGGCAATTTAAAGGTCAGCACCAACAATGTGAATTGTGCTCAGAAATGTACTGGGAGTCAATGAAGATCCTTTTGGACTGGTGTTATGTTGTCTCAGTGGCTGCTCCCTTTCTGTTGTCTAGCTGCCACATTCTGGATTAGTTGGGGTTTACGAATCACCTTCCAAGGTGGCCCCATGTAGCGCATGGAAGTAGTCCAAGGGGGAGATCACCAGAGCATGCACCACTCTGGGGAGACAGTCTCCAGGCATGGAGGGTCTCAGCCGGCGTACCAGATGGAGCTGGCAGACAACTGCCCTGGACATAGAATAGACCTGCACCTCCATGGACAGCTGTGAGTCCAAAATTTGGTTTTACTGCTGTGGCTGCTTTTGCTGTCATGGACTGGCTGATTGCGGGGGCGAGGCACCAGCTGGGGGACCCGCAAGGGAAGAAGGCTCAGAGCCTCGGGACTGGTGGTGGGATGGCAATGAGCAGAAAGAGGGAGAAAAGGGAGCAGAACGGCAGGGGAGTTGTTGCAAGCTGAGGAGGAAGCGGTTTGGTGAGCGGGATGAGGCTGGGGCAGAGAGCAGTTCAGGAGAGGAGGGAGGAGAAGAGGGGCCAGATGCACCTGTCTTGCATGCTTGAGTAGAGCAACTCCAGGGCATGAGCCAAGTAGCAGCAGGGTAGGGGCCACATGCAGAGCAAGTCCCACGCTGAGGACAAAAACACACACAGAGGCAGCAGGACTTCTTCAGTAATAGTTTACTGAGCTTTCAAAGCATATAGTTCTCACTGGGTCCCCAGAGAGGCACAAAACTTTGCTCCTGAGAGCAAATCCAGTTTCAGCAGTGAAAAAATACAGCACACAGGATATCTAAGTCAGGCAGACACACCGGCAGAAGGGAGCAAGGGAGGAAAGAGGCTGGAAGGACACAGACCAATGGATGAGTGTGTTTTGCTTCCTGTCGTCTCGGAGTGAAGTCAGCAGCGTAGCATCTTCAGGGACTTCACGAAGCAAAGCTTTCTGCCGGCTCCTTTCAGGTAAATGTGCATTCCAGAAACACACACTGTGATTCGCAGTGTATTGACATATCAATTGTTTTTCAAAGGTTATCGGGATATGGTCTAGAAACCAGCATTGGATAAGATATCAATATATCGCCCAGCCCTAATCCTCACCCACCACCAGCAATCCATATTCACCCTCTCCCCTTCTCTATCAAAAGGTAAGGTAAAGGTAAAGGGACCCCTGACCATTAGGTCCAGTCGTGACCAACTCTGGGGTTGCGGCGCTCATCTCGCTTTACTGGCGAGGGAGGGAGCCGGCGTACAGCTTCCGGGTCATGTGGCCAGCATGACTAAGCCGCTTCTGGCGAACCAGAACAGCACACGGAAACACCGTTTACCTCCCCGCCTGAGCGGTACCTATTTATCTACTTGCACTTTGACATGCTTTTGAACTGCAAGGTTAGCAGGAGCAAGGACTGAGTAATGGTAGATCACCCTGTCGTGGGGATTCAAACCACGGACCTATGGTTTAACCCACAGCGCCACCCGCGTCCCTGTCAAAATGTACTTTATATCTAACATTATTCTCACTATTGTGAGACATTACCTTCATTTAAAAAAATAAAGCACACAGGTACACACACCAGCAGAAGGGAGCAAGGGAGGCAAGAGGCTGGAACGACACAGGGCAATGTGTTTTGTCAGGGAATGGTCTGAAGCCGAATATTGGGGAATGCATTCTCAAGCAGATTAGCTTTCCTCAGAAGAGGAGGGGGAGAAACAGCCCCCCCTCATTTCCCGTGGTCTCAGAAGCAGGGAGAGACACAGACATAGTGAAGATTAGACAGGAGTTACCTAGTTCGAGATAATGCCAACACTCAGCTGGGCCCCGAAGCCGGAAGCCAGATCTCCTCTGAGTTCATTGCTGTGAAGAAGAGGGGACTCTGAGAGGAACATGTCCCGCATTCCATACATCTAAATGGGTTCTCCCATCTGAGACTCTCTTGATGTTTCTTAAACACTCCATTATAACTAAAGCACTTTCTGTAATCCTTCCATTTAAACTGCTTCTTGGCTTTGAGTTTCTTGATGGTTTGTAGGGTTTCAACTCGTAAAGTTCTTCCTGTCCATGAGTCTGTTGATGTAGGACTTCCACTAGGACTGAACCTTTATCGCCTTTCCTGACATTTATATGGTTTGTCTCTTGGGTGAGTTTGTTGGTGTAAATTAAGGGTTCCACTCTGACTGAAACTCCTTCTACACGCCGTAGATTTAAATGATTTCTCCCCTGTGTGTCTGCTGATGTTTTCTAAGATTTCCACTTTCACTGAAGCTCTTCCCCCACTCCAGGCATTCAAATGGTTTCTCCCCTGTGTGAGTCCATTGATGTATATTGAGGTGTCCACTCTGCCTGAAGATCTTTCCACACTCCATACATTCATATGGTTTTTCACCCGTGAGAGTCCGCTGGTGTAATTTAAGGTTTCCAATCTGACTGAAGCTCTTTTCGCACTCCATACATTTATATCATTTCTCCCCTGTGTGAGTCCGTTGATGTGTTCTAAGGGATGCATTGAAATTAAAGCTCTTTCCACACTCCATGCATTTAAAAGGTTTTTCACCCGTGTGAGTCCGTTGATGTCTTCTAAGGTCTCCATTCTTACTGAAGGTCTTTCCGCACTCCATACCTTTAAATGGTTTCTCCCCTGTGTGAGTTTGTAGATGAATATTGAGGTGTCCACTCTGACTGAAGCTCTTTCCGCACTCCATACATTTAAATGGTTTCTCCCCTGTGTGAGTTTGTAGATGAATATTGAGGTGTCCACTCTGACTGAAGCTCTTTCCACACTCCATACATTTAAATGGTTTCTCCCCTGTGTGAGTCCGTTGATGTGTTCTAAGGTCTCCATTGAAACTGAAGCTCTTTCCGCACTCCATGCATTTAAAAGTTTTTTCACCAGTGTGAGTCCGTTGATGAATATTTAGATGTCCACTCTGACTGAAGCTCTTTCCGCACTCCATACATTTAAATGGTTTCTCCCCTGTGTGAGTCCGTTGATGTGTTCTAAGGGATGCATTGAAATTAAAGCTCTTTCCACACTCCATGCATTTAAAAGGTTTTTCACCCGTGTCAGTCCGTTGATGTTTTCTAAGGTGTCCATTCTTACTGAAGCTCTTTCCGCACTCCATACATTTAAATGGTTTCTCCCCTGTGTGAGTTTGTAGATGAATATTGAGGTGTCCACTCTGTCTGAAGCTCTTTCCGCACTCCATGCATTTAAAAGGTTTTTCATCCGTGTGAGTCCGTTGATGTCTTCTAAGGTCTCCATTCCTACTGAAGCTCTTTCCGCACTCCATACATTTAAATGGTTTTTCCCCTGTGTGAGTCCGTTGATGTGTTCTAAGCCTTCCATTATCAGTAAAGCTCTTTCCGCACTCCATACATTTATATGGTTTTTCCCCTGTGTGAGTCCGTTGATGTATTCTAAGTTTTACATTTTCACTAAAGCTCTTTCCGCACTCCATACATTTAAATGGTTTCTCCCCTGTGTGAGTCCGTTGATGCATTCTAAGTTTTCCATTTTCACTAAAGCTCTTTCCGCACTCCATACATTTATATGGTTTCTCCCCTGTGTGTGTTTGTAGATGAATATTGAGGTGTCCACTCTGTCTGAAGGTCTTTCCGCACTCCATGCATTTAAAAGGTTTTTCACCCGTGTGAGTCCGTTTATGTGTTCTAAGTTCTCCGTTCTTACTGAAGCTCTTTCCGCACTCCATACATTTAAATGGTTTTTCCCCTGTGTGAGTCCGTTGATGTATTCTAAGTTTTCCATTTTCACTAAAGCTCTTTCCGCACTCCATACATTTAAATGGTTTCTCCCCTGTGTGAGTTTGTAGATGAATATTGAGCTGTCCACTCTGACTGAAGCTCTTTCCGCACTCCATACATTTATATGGTTTCACCCCTGTGTGAGTTTGTAGATGAATATTGAGGTGTCCACTCTGACTGAAGCTCTTTCCGCACTCCATACATTTAAATGGTTTCTCCCCTGTGTGAGTCCGTTGATGACATCTAAGGGATACATTGTGACTGAAGCTCTTTCCGCACTCCATACATTTAAATGGTTTTTCCCCTGTGTGAGTCCGTTGATGACATCTAAGGGATACATTGTGACTGAAGCTCTTTCCACACTCCATACATTTAAATGGTTTTTCCCCTGTGTGAGTCCGTTGATGACGTCTAAGGGATACATTGTGACTGAAGCTCTTTCCGCACTCCCTACATTTAAATGGTTTTTCACCTGTGTGAGTCCGTTGATGTGTTCTAAGGTTTATATTGAAACTGAAGCTCTTTCCACACTCCATACATTTATATGGTTTCTCCCCTGCGTGAGTCCATTGATGACATCTAAGGGATGCATTGCGACTGAAGCTCTTTCCACACTCCATACATTTAAATGGTTTTTCCCCTGTGTGAGTCCGTTGATGACATCTAAGGGATACATTGTGACTGAAGCTCTTTCCGCACTCCATACATTTAAAAGGTTTTTCACCTGTGTGAGTCCGTTGATGTGTTCTAAGGTCTCCATTCTTGCTGAAACTCTTTCCACACTCCATACATTTATATGGTTTCTCCCCTGTGTGACTCTGTTGATGACATCTAAGGGATACATTGTGATTGCAGCTCTTTCCGCACTCCATACATTTATATGGTTTCTCCCCTGTGTGAGTCCGTTGATGAATATTGAAGTGTCCACTCTGACTGAAGCTCTTTCCACACTCCATACATTTATATGGTTTTTCCTGTTGGAAGTCGTTGATGTGAGCTATGTATGCTCATTCAGTGAAGCATATTCCACATTTGACACATTTTAATTTCTCTTCCTAATTTAATTTCTCTTCCTAATCCCGATCCCCTGAAGTTTTGACTGTCTTCTCCTTCACCTTCTTCAGAGTGGGAGGAAAGGAAATCCTGTTTGGGTTTCAAGGAAGAGAACAAAGGAAAAGAGAGCACATCAGATGCCATTAGCACCACCTCATATTTCAACATATCCTACATTCCCCGCATCCTACCCTTGTTCCAAATTTTTAGGAAATGAAAATGCAATGTCATCAAATGATAGCAATGCATCAGCAACCTTTCATAATCCTCAATCAGCAGCATGATAAAGCAGCATGATATTGGAATACAGACTTTTCCAACCAATTGTTTCCTCACAAGGAAAGGCAGCTGCTCTCTGTCCATGAAAAGGCCCTCTCTTTCTTTGGTCCATCGTTCCTTTGGACATTTCCCATCCTCTGCAACATAATCCTCCATCCACCTCTGTCTCTTAATGAATCACCTGCACAGTCCCATTGGCCTCAGGAGGTCCATATGGACTATTATGTGAGACCTAGGTCTATGCCTTTTCCAGGGACTGTGGTCTGGGTTAGTCAGAGAACTAGTGACAAGTCTTCGTGCTTTGGGTCAGCTGAATGGGTGCTCAGGGAAGCTCCTGTTCTTGGAGATGGACCTCCGTCCAGATGCCTTGCATTGCATGGAAAGCGAAGGAGAAGCAGAAGGAAAGCAGCTGGCGTATGGGAATCCCAGACGGAAAAACCCACCCCCATTGCTCCGTATAATAATGAGGTGCAGCCTCATCTTGTGCCTGTCTCCTGAATCAGGACTATCCTAAAATGACACTTACAAATCTGAATACTAAAGGCAAATAGATAACTGTACTTAATGGAAACTTCATCCTTGAATATGTAGTATTGAGTCATTAACAGCCTGAAGTTATGTTGTTTCTTGAGAAATAAATTTATTCCTGATCTGTCTTAACTATCATAATTATAGGATGGCTTGGGGTGTTAGGGGAGCGGTAGTACCTTTGGTGGGCGACATGTAGTCCACCTTGTGGGGTAATATTTCCACCATTGGTCCCCACCCTGCACTCAGCTCTCACCTGTGGCTTCCAGAAGCTGCCAGAATGCAACAGAGGCAGCGATCCAAGCAACAGCTTCAACGGGCCGGCTAAACCAGGTGAGGATACCTGATGGGTCTCAAACGCTTGGTGGGTTGGGGAATTCTGGTGCAGGTGAAGGCAGACCCTGGTGGATGGAGAGGAGGAGAAGAACAGTGAATCCCACAGTCAAGAAGGCAGATTCCGCCCATGCTGCAGAGGAAAGTGAAGGGCAGATGTGATTGTCAACCGGGGAAGGAAGCCCATCGAGAAGGAAAACTCTGATCCTAAACCTTCGCTGCCTTGTGAGTTATCTTCAGGAGAAGAGAAGGCTATGGGGGAAAACCTACACAAATCCAGAATGGACTCTCTAAGACGGTTGGATGGTGTCCTGCACACCTCCTTCCAGCATCTCCGATGGCCCCTTGAAAGCTAATGAAAGTCTTGGGCCTGGAGCTTTTGGAGGGGCAGGACCAGGAAAGCTTCTGCCACCATTATCCTTCCAATTGGGATTCAGGCCTCATCATGGGACGGAAACTGCCCTGGTTGCGCCGCTTGATGGATCTCCGATGGGCTAGAGACCAAGGGGGAAAAAGCTCTTTCCTGGTTCTGCTGGATCTGTCAGCAGCTTTGGAGACCTTTGACCATGGTATGTGCACATTTGACCATGTGCAGTGGTTCCCCTCCTTCCTCCTGGGCCATGTCCTGAAAGTGGTGTCGGGGGATGAGTGTTCAGACCTCTGGGCTCTCACTTGTGGGGTTCCTGAGGGCTCCATCCTCTCCCCCATGCTTTTTAATATCTATACAAAGTTGCTGGGAGAGATCATCAGGGGGGTTGGGTTGGGTGTTCCCCAGTATGTGGATGATACCAAGCTCTACCTCTCTTTTAAATTGGAACCAGTGAAGGTACTGTATGAGTGTCTGGAGGCAGTTGAAGGATGGATGGTGGCTAACAGATTGAGGTTGAATCTTGACAAGACAGAAATACTGTCCCAGGCAGGTGTGGAAGATGCCCTAGACCTGATGGAGGTAACTGTACCCCAAAAGGACCAGGTGCACAACCTGGGGGTCATTTTGGACTCACAGCTGTCCATGGAGGTGCAGGTCTATTCTATGTCCAGGGCAGTTGTCTGCCAGCTCCATCTGGTACGCCGGCTGAGACCCTCCATGCCTGGAGACTGTCTCCCCAGAGTGGTGCATATTCTGGTTATCTCCCCCTTGGACTACTTCCATGCGCTACATGGGGCCACCTTGGAAGGTGACTCGTAAACCCCAACTAATCCAGAATGTGGCAGCTAGACAACAGAATGGGAGCAGCCGCTGAGACAACATAACACCAGTCCGAAAGGACCTTCATTGACTCCCAGTACATTTCTGAGCACAATTCACATTGTTTGTGCTGACCTTTAAATTGCCGTGGTTGCATTTTGCAGGCATAGATTCCTGTTTTGCCTTCAGTAACAAATTTATTTGCTGAAGGAATTTTTTGCTGTCTCTGAGCATTTTTTCCTACTCTGCTAATTGTATGTTGGACTTGCTCTGGAGATCATTGTGAAGCAGCAAGATCATTGACCTAAAGCCCTACAGCCTCACTCTCTATAGACCTGAAGGAGCGTCTCCACCCCCATCGCTCAGTCTGTACACTGAGGTCCTCCTTCGAGGGTCTTCTGCTGGTTCACCCCCCCACACCCCATGAGAAGCGAAGTTACAGGGAAGCAGGCAGAGGGCAAGGAAAGGGGCAACTATCTGACATTTAGAAGACAGCTGAAGGCAGCCCTGTATCAGGAGGTTTTTAATGTCTGATGTTTTACTGTCTTTTATATGTACTGTAAGCTGCCCAGAGTGACTGGGGAAACCCAGCCAGATGGGTGGGGTATAAATACTACAATCATTCTTATTATATTGTTATTCTTTTGTAGTTATTTTGGATTTCGTACTGCAATATCAGCTCACGAAATGTTATGGGTGGAGAAACTCACAGGGCTGCCCTAAACTGTAATCCCACCCACTACTTCTCATTCACATACAGTCTGTAAATTTGGGGAGGTCACATACCTCACCTGTGCTAATACTGGCAGTTTTTGGCCTGTGTAGGCACACCTTGTATGTAGAGCCTCCAGCCACAAGCACTGTCTATCATGAAAATGGGTCCTTTGACTGGGAAGAATCTCAGCTTATCAGTCACTCTGACACTCCCTACCAAAAATAAGAGGAACAGAAATGCTTTTGAGGTGCAACTTCTATATGAATCCTGAGAGCCATTCCATGGACTCTGCACCCCTGTTTCTGATGACAGGTGTACATTATCCTCATCCTCAATGAAGCAGGCAGTGGAAAAGACATTAAAGATGGAAGCCTGAGAGAGAGGAAAAGGTTTCTGGCTCTTTCCCGGGTGGGATTGCGGAAACCAAGAGCCGCTTCTGAGAAGGCCTCTCCCCTCCCCTCTTCCTCTCCGGATTTGAACCGCAGCGACTGGGCAGTGCAGGGGTTTATGGGGGCGTGAAGAGGATGCAGCTTGCAGGAAGGAAGCCACACGGGGGTCTCTATCCAGGCGTCCCTCGTGCCCGTTAACCCTTTCATGGCCCGCCTTTCTCCGTGCAGATCCCACAGGGCCCCGGGTATCCCTGCGTGGGGGAAACGGGGCAAAGGGGCCCTGGTGGGACCCCCTCAGTAGGCGCCCCATGTCCGCCGCTGCCAAGGCGCAGCACGGATGCAGGGATCTAGGCCATGCCGACGGGACGCATGAAAGGCGCTCTGGGGAGCTGGCGCGGCGTCCCTACCTGGGTCCTTTTCTGTCCTCCCCCCCCATGACCCCTTTACCTCAATCTCCTCACTCCAGATTCTCCTTTCCTTTCCTGCAACATCCATGGGGGGAGGGGTGTCGCCTGCTGCCCCTCCTCCCGTTTCCGAAAGCACGCTGCCCTAGAGCTACGGCGCAGAGCAGTAATCCGGAGTGGAAGCTCCACTTCCGGGAGAAGCAGTCAGGTTGGGAGGAGGGCTCTCCCCCCCTATTCCCGGAACAGAGGTCGGATGACGAGGAGGAGGAGCAGCATATTGGGGAGGGGATTTGGGGATGAGGAGGAGGGGTGACGGAAGGATGTGCCGGGAGGGAAGGAACTGGGGGGAGGGAGAGGAAGGTATCCCTCCTCCTCTCTTCCATCTGTGAATCAGGAGAGCGGGGGAGGGGTGATCCCGCAATCCAATTACAAAGTGGGGTTCCCCCAATGTTTTCATTGTAAAATCCTTCCCTCGCCCACCCCACGCCACGAGCCGTGCGTCCGTGTTTTAGGTATTGGTGCTCTTCAAACCAGGAGGGGGGACAGTTATACGACTCCCCCCAAACCCCAAGTCCCCACCACAGCCTCGGACTAAGGCCAGGACAATGACCATTTGTACAGGCGGTTTCCATGCACAACGGCAAAGAGGCTCAGAAAAGCAGCCTATACAATTGTAGCAAGAAGCGGATACCATGAATCGGACTGTTTCCTCCGACTATCCAATACGCCTAATGACTCCTCTGGAATTGGGGGATCCAGGGCTCCCCCTGACTCCATAATCCCTTAGGAGGCAGGAGGCGATCAAGGGCAGCACATGTCCCAGACAGAAATCCATCGGGATGGTGGATTGAATCCTGATGCATTCAAAGGAGAAGCGCAGGAAAGCCTTCCAGTTCGGGGATGTCCGAATACTATTACGGTTCTTTGGGGAAGAGGGTAGTTAAAAGGTGTGGGAAAATAGGGTTACTGACGGGCAGGGAGACGGGCTCATTTTTCTAAATGCCAAAGACTCCTACTTTGTGACATATTTGTGATGTATCGATGACCCTGTATTGTGGGAAATGGG